AGCAGAAAGTTGAACTTGAAAGCTTGCATAAATTAAAATTTTATCCGTCTGTACTCTTATTGATGATAAAAATGAGCCAATCAGCGTGCAAGAAATTAGACAGTTATTGTAAAAAATGCACTTCAACATTTATTTCTCTGGTAAATATTTGCTTACCAGGCTGTCAGATAAGGGATAGTTTGAGGAGGCATGCAAATGAGTAAGGAAGGAAGGGAAGGGGAAGGATGCAAGAGGTGGAGAGTCTGTGCAAAGGCCTAAGCCAGAATATTAAAGTATGTTCAAGTTTACAAATCTTAAATGATAGTATTTAGTATTTCCTCCTACCTTCAGCACATTGTATTGTTGTTTTAAAGGTACATGTTGGTTCCATGCGGGCTACAAGTCGTGGATATGTGAAATTAAAGTCTAATAGTCCATATGACAACCCCATTATCCAGCCAAACTACCTCTCAACGGAAGAAGATAGAGTGGAGTTGAGAGACTCTATCAGACTTACCCGTGAAATATTCAGCCAGAAAGCGTTTGATCCATTTCGAGGAAAAGAACTACAACCAGGTATGCAATTTGCATAATTATGATTTTTGATGCAGCATGCACAGCTTTCTTGGCAGCTTCCACCCCCTCAACACACAAGAATGTTAGAGAAATGAATTTGTTTTAATGATGAGGTGAGAAAACAAAAAGCTTTTTTCACACTAGTAGCTAAACAGGAGACTAGTTTTATTATAATTTTTCTTTGTCAGAGTACGTATTGTTTTTTACATCTTTTGTTTTACATGTAAATACAATGGACATGTAAGTCATGAGTGACTGCAGTGAACCACCTGCCATGAAATTGCCTGTTCTACAGTAGTAGCTTTTACCACTGACGTTTTCTCATCTTCATGAAACATTCATTTAGTAGGCAATTCTTATGAGTTTTTCTTGTAGAACGCACTAGATAATTTATTACACTGAATAAACACTGTTGTCCTTTGCCACTTATTTCCGTATCTGTCTTTTAAGGTGACCATGTTCAAACAGATGAAGAAATTGACGCCTGGGTACGACAGAATGCAGATACGGCATATCATCCATCATGCACATGCAAGATGGGCTCTGATGATGACCCAATGGCTGTCGTCAATAACAAATTGGAAGTCCTTGCAGTAGAAAATCTTCACATCGTTGATGCATCAATCATGCCAAGCGTTGTGAGCGGAAATCTCAATGGACCAACTGTTATGATTGCCGAGAAGGCAGCTGATATCATCCTAGGAAATCCACCACTGCCTAAATCAAATGCACCAGTGTACAAGACACCAGAAAAGGGACCAAGATAATTAATATAAGTGATGTCATGAAACACACTTTATGGTGACTGCTAAATAATTCCACTTACAAAACAATATTGCTTCCAGATCTTGTGTGGCAGACGAATGGCATTCAGTGTGTGAGGAGCAAAGTTTCAAGACTGGATGACAAAATGCTTAAAATCATACTGTTGAAAATAATTATTACTGGTCTATTTAATATATTTTAAATTATCATGAGGTCTTCTTATTGTGAGGGAAGGTGCGAAGGGATGATGCTCAACGGAGATCCTGTGTTAGTAACCAAAGTACACTGTGGTTGAAAAGGCTCTGGCTAAGGATTTCAGCAGTCAGCATGAGAATTAATTTTAATATGGCTTTATACAATAATAAGCAGTAAGGTTCAGACTGCAAAACGACTTCTAGATTTTCATGGAGAGT